CAAAAGGTTGCTGTGCCCGCGCTTCCCATGCAAAGGACGCAGTGCAAATTTACCGCCGGGCCAAGGAGCGCGCCTATCCCGAGCTCACCTGCGCCACCCGCTGCCGGCTCGTTGTCGTCGGCCTTGAGGTTGGGGGCGTGGCTGCCACCTTCGTTCGCCTCCTGGCGCAGGCCAAGGCGCGCTCCCGCCCGCCGCCTTCCCGGCCCTTCGTTGCGGCGGCCTGGGGGAGGCGCTGGTGCGGCCTCCTCGCCTTCGCGGCCCAGCGCGATCAAAACGTATGGTGCGCCACTGGTTAGATGCTCTCTGTACATTGTACTCTTTTATTAAGCCTGCCACTGCGATTGGACTGATGACATAACATACATACATGGTCCTGTCTGTGCCAGCGCGATTAGATTTATGTGCTGAACATGAACCGCACATGCATTTTACAGTATTACATCATTTTACCACGCATGTGTCTGGAGCATGCCATTCCGCAAGGCCCACTGGCCGTGGCACAACTTCACGCGACGCGGCACGAGAAAGGTCAAGGACCCAGTACCAACTGGCCGCGGCACAAGAGTGGGTGGGGTGGTGACTGTGGGTCGAAGGGCGCCAGTGCCAGTGCCTGCGGCAGAAGGCCGTCACTGTAGAAGGCCGACGGAAGGCTGGGCGCACACCAGGGCATCACTGTCGCTGCCAGCAGGCGGGGGCAACGTTGCGCAAGGCAGGCGGCGCCGGCGGTGCCAAGAGTTGAGCTAGCAGGGAAGCGGGAAACAAACGCATTCGGGGCAGCGGCCGCCGCAGGTGAGGACAACGAAAGATGTTGAGGCTAACTCGGCCTAGCGGGTCTCTTTGCCCCGCCATGCCATTGAAATCGCGTGCCCATCGTGGCGCGCAGCGGCGGATTGGGAGACGCCGTCGGCCCGCAAGGGGAAACCAGCGTGGCGTCGCAACAGGGTGCTTAGGCTTCGCCCAGGCACGTGGCACCATAAACGATGAAGTCTAGGAGGCGGCAGTCGTTGGGGTGCATTCCGCGGGCTACGTTTCAGACGCGGGATCGCTTCTTATGCATATGAATATTTTTTATTGTACTGTCATTATTATATATCATTGTGATTACCATTATTATTATAATTGTGTGTCTGTCTATTTTCATTTATGTTTGCTATTTAATGCTATTTATGGCTTCGTCTTCAATTTGTTTTGACCAAATCCATGCTGGCTGGTGGCCAAGGCCTACGAGGCAGGAGTCGTGGGGTTGAGCATTCTCCACCTTGCACAAGACGCACCGGAAAGGGTTGCCTACCAGTCTCGAAGCAACGAGTAATGGCCCAACTCCAGCGGTCTCCACTCCAACATGCACCTGAGGTCCAGGACCAGCCCCTTGCACTGGAAAACATGCCATCCTGTTGTACCTTCCAGTCTAGTTCCACACTAGCACTGCGACCACCAATGAGCCCGAACCGTTGCTCTGTAATTGCTATACAGTGACTCTGCACTGGCCCAACCCACAACACACAACATAACCCGACGCGACACGACACTACACGACACTACACGCAACATTCACCCCCGCTCAACCGGCTGTAAGCTGCGAAGGCTAGCCCCAGCATAGTAACATAGTACACAATACGTGCGCAGCTGCAAACACAACCTCTAGTTCTGCACTCCTCAGACGACACCACACATGTGAGAGCCTACAAATGAGACTATTGACAATGTCTGTTTGCCCCTTGCTGTGAATTCCCCCCCCCCTAAAACAACCCCACACTGCCAACTCCTAGCCCTTTCGTTCCATCTGTCATCCTTTGTGTTCGGTGTCATGCGATTGTTTTTCCCTTTCATTGATTTGTTCATATTTATTCTTTGGTTGTAACATTTTTGTGATCAACCTCCTTGTACAAATTGTTTCATGGGTCCTGGACCTTCCAGTAGCTCCTTTGATGCAACATCCTTTGGGTGCCCTTGGCTGTTATCCAATTCTGTGCTGGGTCATCCCTGCAAATTGTTTCATGTGTCCTTGCCCTTGTCAAGATGATTTCGCTGACCACCACCAACCCGCACATTTCAAACATGTTGATGCAAACATTAATTCAAACTCATTATTTCAGAGGGTTCCTCTGACATAATTTAGAATTGGCACGGGCACAGGTGATGCTTGACCGGTCAATCCTTTTTTGAGATCTATCCCGTCATCGAGCCAGGTTTATGCCGGCAGCGTGCAAATGCTCACATCTGCAGCCTGCGGCAGATGCCACCGGCGTGGGCTTGGCACACATGGGCAAAAAAACTTAGAAGAACTCTGCAGGAAGCGTCTGCATGGAAGCCATTGTCGGACATCATTGTCGCAAGAGTCGTTGACAGTTCTCGAGATATCTCGAGTGTTAGGCCAATCAATCGGCAGGGTAGGTCGAGTATAGGTATCATGGACGACCATCAACAGCATTGAGGCAGGCAGGTGCAACCGCATTGTTTGAGCGATCAATATGATCAAATGCTCTCTACAAGGGCAGCACATGGCGCACTAGAATGCGATGCTTGAAAAGTGACGGCCAGTCGCAATTTGAGCGGTGCTGTAGCTCAGTCTTGCACCGCATGCTGCATAGTCTGTTATGTGGGGATAGGCATAGGGTAGCGGGTGCTAGCGTTGGGGGTTGATCTTCGGGCAAAACTCGGCCATCAACTAATTAGTGCTCGTACACAGCAATCAATCCATCAATCAATCAAAAAACAAAACAGTTGAGGTCGCACAGTGATTCCCACAACAACAGCTTTGCAAGTAACAATTGACGGTCAAACAGCATTAACATTGTTTTGTCTGATCTTTTGACGCCTTAAATGTTGCTGCAACTACTGGTGATCATATATATATATATATAAAGATTATTAAAGATTATCGTTGGCCACTGTAGACTTTGCAAGGACCTTTTGCTGCATAGTGACTACCCAGCTTGTCTGAACTATCATTACCCCTATACCCAAGCGGCGATGCCCTTGTTACTAGTAGCTTCTGAATCATATTGATCCATCGACAGCAACCTGACACGCTGGATGCTGCAGAGCGAAGTGCCTGCACACCTTGGACGCCGGGAAGCTATTGCACTCCCTTGCTGAACAGGAAAGCCAGAGAGGACTTGAAGCGCAAAACTTGTGCTTTTGAGACCAACACCGATCAATTCGGTGACGAGTATAGAGTATAGAGTGGGATGGGAGTGGAGCAGGTTCATCTCAGGTGGTGGCGCCACAGTGCAAGAACACACTCCACGTTTCTGTCGGCGTCGAATTTCTGTCGAAGTGCTTCAAACTTCAGGCCTTGTTGTCTTTCTCTGCACACACGCGGCGATAAACGTTCAACAGATTTGCCAGCGTGTTGTCGGCGCTTCATGTTCATGTTCAAAGTAGGCCCAGGTCTCGGTGCACAGATTTCCTATATATGTTGCTTGGCTTTCCAGACAACTCACTCGCTGGTGAGAATTGCACACAAGCTCACCTGCTTCAGCCATCGGGCGGATGCTAGCATGCTAGCTGCTAGCAGGCAACCATTCGCATGCTGTTGATATCATGTTAGACGTGCTATCTATCGCCCATGACGGGCACCAGATCTTGGAGACATGTAGGGCTCAAACCAGCCGCGACAAGACAATGCGCGCAATGACCAGCACAACAGAAGCATGCCCTACACTCTTTGCGGTGTCTGTGGGAGACAGTGCGCAGCAGTCAGCTTGTGAAATACAGAAAGAATAAGCACTGTCAATCCCCGACCGAGTAGCGCTACCAGCACTTTTGGTCCTTGCCGAGTTGGCATTCTGCATTAATCAAATCCATCACAGGCGCAACTGAATCCAGCAGCTCTGCAGTCCTTCCCAATTCTGCCTCTTTCTGATCAAAGTGAGGTTTGTGATCAAAACATGGTTCCATCTTGCTTTCAGACAGACTACAAACAAGACTTTGACTTCGAATTCTAGCAGCACCAGGACTCTGGACCCTCGCAGAAGCTACAGGCAGCTTCTTCCCTTTGCCATATTCCTTGACGGCAAATGTGCACACTTGGTAAGTTGGTAAACATACAAAGCCGTCCGATGCATTCTGACAATGTTTGGCAAAAGGAAGGCTGTGATACTGCACTCTCTCTTGCCTGCTCATTCTGCCAACCCTGGTAGTTATTGATGTCAGAGTTAGTTTTCTGATGTTTTCTGCAATACCATGATAAATGTTGTCCCCCTGGCCCATCTACCTAACTTAGCCAGCGCTACCCCTTAGCAAGCTGGCAAATCTCAGCAGGGTGAGAAGTGAAGACACTAACCTAACAATCACACTGACAGTGCCCAGGCTTTGCACAAACCCCCAGAGTCTGCAAGGTAAGCATAGGTTGATAAGTAGATTGTCCTTGGACTCTGAGGGAGGTGTGACACTGATCATTTATAGTGCTTTGGCTCAATGGTTGACTAAACTAGTCAAACTGTTACTCTATGTCAGAAGAAGCCTCTGAAGACAAAGCACGTGTTCCATTCCTCTTTGAGGAATTCTTCTTCGAGGCTACAGATTCTTGCGAGTCATCTAGTGGCAGCAAGGAAGCGGATAGCTGAAAGTGGGCTCGGCACGCCCTGGCGCAAGTGCAAAGTCAGCTGTTTTGCCGGACCAAGGGAGTAGCATGTAGATCATGTAGAACAATTGTAATGACCCAAATTGTGCCCCACTTTGTTGTGGATCCTGTGGGGTTCTTGGCACAGTAATGGCTCTGAGGAGAAAAAAAACGCCTTGGGGATGAACACGAGAACAGACTCCAAACTCTGCCCTTGTGACCCTTGCCCCTGAGTAGCCAACTTCTGCAGTCATCAAGTCCTCTTCCTTCATGTTTTGTCCGATGGCCACAGGCCAAACATCGCAAGAAACTTGAACCAGCGCTGTTGCCCAAATAATGTGGATTTGAGTTCAATTGATTACTTCAATTTCCACCAATGAGACGTTGCCAGGGAACCGAATTTTAACAAAGGCATTGCTTAGCTTCCGCATTCCTAGCTGAGAACTTCATTCTTTCCTGATCTCATGCAGTCCTCATCGTCTTCACGTTTTCGGAACTCTTCCGGCAGCCTCAGAGCGAAACTGTCCAGAGTCCACTCCACTAAAATACCACCTTCCTTGATTGCAAGTCCCGACAACTTGAAGAGAAGACTCGATGTGGACACCCCTGATATGCACTGGGAGAGACACTGCGAAAAACCTCGCGCAGCTTCGGGGTCTCCAAGGGTTTCGCTTGAGTTCAGCGTTCAGGTTCACGTGCAAGAGCCAGGCAAGAGCCTGCAGCTGGTAGGCACAGGACGGAGCATAAACGTACGAATATGAAAGAACTGCTTCGGTCACTGTTTTGAAAAGCATTGTCCTGTTGGCCTCCTGAGGCATGAGGGAATCTTGGAATTCAAAAGTGCCAACTCTGCTGAAGTTTGTCCACCTTTCAATACTACTCTGTTCGTTGCCACAAATCCCAGCCCGCACCGTGGTTGTGAGGACCAGGAAGGCCGCTACAATCCAAAAGTAGCGGCGTGGCACACCTGCCCAGCAAGTTCTTTGCACCATGCACCATGCACAACCCAACGCTCGCTTGCAACTAATTCCGCTTCCATTCGAGCACAGTATAGGATTACTTAAGCATCATCATACCTGAGAAGGGCGGGGACGAAAGCCAGCCTCCGCAAGAAAACATCAATGTGGTTATGGGGCGAATTCGACACCGCAATGGAACCGGTGTCAGGCATGGGGAAATAGAAGGCAAAGGAGAAAGTCTCGGATTCAGGCACGATATGACTCATATGACAGGCTCTGTTTACACAAGTTTCGATCAAGGCCCATTAGCGGGTATAGGGTAGAAGGATAGAAGTGGTTCATGCGTTAAGAAAAAATTGAGTTGAGCAGCAAGTCCGTCATTCCTAGCGAAGAAGTGGCGCGAAGTGCAAGTGCATTCCTAGCTCAGTCCGTCACCTGATTTCCCCATTATACCAGATCCGTCATTTCATTTCTCTAGTAAGCCCGGCCCGTCATTTCATTTATCTACTAGGCCCGGTCGATCATGTGAGTGCTTAACATCATGCAGAGATGACTGAGGAGATCCCATCGCCTGGGCATCAGCTGGCGTCGTTGTTGTATATCGTCTCGTCCCGCTGTCCTCCCTTTACTGTCCTCCCACCCCTTGTCGAAAGACTGTCCAAATAATAGCCTCTTGAGACTTGATGTTGCTAATGATGCGCTCTTCGGCGTCAATTACATCACTTGCATCACAACACCCCAAAAGCCATACATCCCTGCTTTTCGGACCACATCTTTTTTCGCTCTCCCCCACCAGGCTCTGGGTTCGCCCTACCCAAACTGGCGACCTAAGTAACCACCCCACTATACTATACTCACTTCGTTCGCCCATCGACAACTCCAGCCTAGCCTATCGGCTGGCTTTCGTGAGAAAGTTTGCAATTGTATATATATATATATATATGTGTCTTTCATTCCTTTTCCAGGAGCGCTTGCCAGATTCGCGGTCCTCATTCCCACTCAGGGTGGGTGGGTGGGCCTCTTTGGGCCAACTGCGTTTGCCGACACGTATCATCGACGTTCCCGTTGTGCTCTTTCGATTCTGACGTGTCTTTCACTCCTTTTCCAGGAGCGCTTGCCAGATTCGCGGTCCTCATTCCCGCTTTAGAGATCACCAGGGCTGCGTCAATCTCAAGCGTTCTGTAGGAGGCGTTTTGCCGAAGTCCGGCGTCGGGCCCTTCGAAACCTGCTTCACCTTGATTTCCTCGTCCAGTTCAATGGCGGTGTCCATGAGCTTGTAAAGGACGACGAAGGGCAAGTTCTCCATTTCCACCTCCACGCGGTTGGCCTCTTCAAAGAGTTCGAAGCGACCTTTACTTAAGTCGTCTGCTGGTTCATTTTGTTCTCGTGGAATCCAGGCCAGAGAAAGATCCAACTTGTACTTCTCCAACTGACAGGCCAGTTCCATGAGAACTAGGGACGCAGGAAACTTCGTGGTGAGGAACCGGTCAAGCAAGTAGGCATTGCTCAGGTTGTCGGTGAATAGCCTGTCACCGAAACTCTTCCACGGTCCAGCCGGACGTGGAACCAACGAGCCTTCTTGGTGTCAGAAGTCTCCGCCGTCTCCCAGCCACCAATTGCAATGCCAGTTTGGTCGGCCACAGCGAAGACCTCGCCCACGACCTCTGGCTCTGCGGAAAGGGGGCGCATAGGCTCTGCGCTGACCATCTCCTCAAAGAACCGGATGGCCAATTTTGTGGCAAAGTGCAACTCAAAGTAGCCGCCTCCAGAAACCTTGGCACTGGCCGCGTACAAGGGCGCCAGAAACGGCCTTGCGTATTTTGCCGCTCCAATCCTGCCCAAATTCGACCATTTCTTCAACCACTCCCCTCGTCTTTGCCCACGACAAAGGAACCTCCATCAAGTCCAGGTAGAGGAACATGCCAAATATCCAGCGCATGTAGTCGTCGCCTCCAGACAGGACCAAACCATCGTCGGCGAAAAGGAGCAGGTAGAAGATCGCCTGAGATGGCAGGAGCCGATGAAACACCCTAAACAGGAGACCGGCAACTCGGCCCCACCAGAAGGCCGCACTAGCCACTCCAAAGGTGCCTCGAGTGTTGAGAAGCACCTCCTCCTCCTTGTCCAATCGGCATGCTTGCAAGCCCCAATCCCTACGATGGATAGGGATCAACCGATGAGCGGACTTCACATCGAAGGCCAGGAGAGCCCGGGATGATGGGCCATCAGCTTTAAAGGCCTTCATGGCGCAGTCCACGTCGTCAAACTGAGGGAACGCCATCTTATATTGGGCTGCTGGATTTGCGAGTTGACCTGAAGCCCATGCGTTTGATCGTGAACCACCCTCACATCGCTCCACTCCTTGTCCTTTGGCGCCGCACCCAGCGAAGCAACGTCTCCGCCAAATTCTTCTTGGGCCTTCGACAGCGGGACGCAAACCATCCAGCCCTTCTTAATGTCCGCCTCTACATGGTGCTTGACCCTCTCCATATATGATCCTTAGCCGAGGCGTAGTTGCCCCGCAAACTGGCCTCCTTCTCCTCCTCGTCCCAGGTGGGAGGGACAGAGTCATCCCCTTTTCTCTCCTTCTTCTCATAGACCGCCTCCACCCAGGATATCTCTCCTCTAACCCCCAAGGCCACTCCAGTGGACGCCATATCCTCCAAGAACCGAGAGTCCGCGTCCCCCAAACGCCAGGGCCCATGCTTGCAGCCGACGAAACGCGATCTCCAAGTCCCGGTCGCCAGGACGCCTGCCTGGATCCAACCCTCCACCAGCGACCAACTTGTCCAAGCGGCCACGAATGCCCTCCAAGACCTCAACGAAGGGAGAGCAGGTGCGGCGCCCCAGGACCAATTCCGAAAACAGCCGGAGTCTCTGTGCCTTGGACATCGAATGCACGTCAACCTCCTCCCAAAACGCCCTTGACAGCTTTGCTCCCCGCGACTCCAGCTGGATGCCCCTGTGGCCAGACGGCCTCGTCCCCGGGAAATTGAAGCCCATCCACCATCCTGCGAGCCTTCCCCTTAATACCACACCTGGAGGTGCGCCCAGGGACGGTCCTGTACCGGAGCTGGAAGTTGCCTTCTTCTCTTGGCAGGATTCTCCCCCTGCCCCTTTACCCTTGCCGAAGACGATTGCCTCGAAGTAGTGGTTGCCGAAGACGATGGACCTGGACCAGTTGTTGCCGAAGACGAACTCCCTGCCGTGGTTGTTGCCGATGAGGTCAGGTGTGGAGTAGCCAGAGGATCTGAAGTAAACGCCCCCTTCGTAGGAGGTCCCACCGTAGTTGTCACCCTCAAAGGAGGTTCTGAAGTAGCTGTAGGCGCCCCCCTCGAAGGAGGTTCCGATGTAGCCAGAGGTGCCACCCCCCGAGAAGCCGTTGAAGAGGTCGCCGGTGCCCCTTTCAAGGGTGACATTGCCGAAGCTCTCCTCTCTGCCCGCTTCAGAAGAGCGGAGAAAATGCACTGTGCCAGCGCCCTCGGATGTTTTCCGGATCAACGTTTCGTGAGGGGCTGTGCACCCGCAGCGGGAAGGTAATGGACCTTGGTAGGCCCCAACTGCATCAAGCTGTGGCATTCCTAGCCACAGATGGTCGTTCAACTCAACGATGTTGTGAAGTAATCTGGTAGGCTTAGGTGAAGAGGCACCAAAATAACATTGGAAGAGAGCACCACTGAAGGCCGCGCCAGCCACCACCCAGTTGCGGATTGGAAGCAACTGCCACACTGATGCCGGTCGCATATCAGAGCTGTATCGAGTAGTGGAGCCCAAGTCCTCCGGGTGCTCAAACAGAAACAAAATGTCCTGCTTCATGCAAATAGTGAACGCTTGTAAGGAAAGCTCCACCATCGAATTGGATTGTGTCACTTTCAGGAGCTTCCAGCCTTCTAACCACGGAAAGCCGTAGGGGTGCACAGAGCTCCTGAGTGGTCGGGGCCCCTGATCGTTCGCCCAAGGAGCCCGAGACCATGTGCCGCAAGGCGGCGAGGCTATGACTGCATCATAGTAGCCGCTTTCCAGCTTCCTCAAAATCTCCTTCTGGAGGTCATCATGCAAAAGGTCGCGCCTAGGATCTCGAAGGATGTCGTAGGCGTCCACTTGGATCGACACCGGCTTCTTGGAAGTAGTGGCGAGCCGCTGTAGCACCTCCGGGATCCCAGTAGAACGCTGAGGTCCTGAGAAGAGGTACAAAATCTTGAATTCCTGAAGAGGCTCATGCGCTGGCCGCTCCGGGCTTTTGGACCCTAGTCACGAGTTTTTGGCATCGGTGGGACGCTCAAAGGTTGGGTGGCTGGTGTCTAAACAAATGCGACATGCATGAACACGCCCACAATCCCCCTTGCACCCTTCTAGGCGGTTGTTCCATGCAAAACACAACTGCCGCCCGTCCGGTGTCACACCATGAAGGGATTGCCCCTTCCCCTTGGTCTTCCCCTTCCCTTTCTTGTGCTTCCCCTTGCTCTTGCCCTTACCCTTTTCCATGGCCCCTTGACCATAGGGATGCTGACGTTCTTGCGCTCGATGGCGCCCACTCCAAGGGTCTTTCAATGCTTGTGAAGCCGAAGACACCGCCAGGGGCGTACTGAAGTAGCGCTCGCGGACATCTGCATTCTTCACCACCTCCTTCAGCGCCTTGGCCCAAGCGATGCCTTTGTTCACCTCGTCCACCACCTCTTTCCTCATCTGGTACTCGCAGGCCAGAATGAGCTTGAGCGAAGGGCGATGGAGTGGTATGTCATCAATGGTGACCGATTCCAACTGTGCCACATTCTTGCTGCAGATGTAGTTGAGATACTCAATGGCCGTGAAAGGTGAGATGCCCTCCAGCGTCTGCTTGTGGGGGTACCTGAATCTAGCAAAGATCAGGTGATTCACCACGAGGTTGATCTTCGAGCGGAACTCCTCCATGTTAGTCGGGTTGTTGGTCTCCACCCGGGACTTCTTAATGCTCACCTGTCCGGCCTTCCCCACCTGAAGACTGCCCGTCTCCGCGTCGTCCTCCTCCGCCCTCGACCCAAAGTGTCTGAGGGCCATGGCCCTGAACTCGCCCCCATCAATCTGCTCGCAAAGATCCTCGAAGCTGGGCTTTCCTGGGCACTCCGAATCCTTCAACTTGTAGAACTTCTTCTCATACTCGGAGCGGTAGAGCTGCATCTCCACCCCAGGAACCGTCTTGGGTGCCTTATGGGTCACCGCCTCGGCGTCCATCTCATCCATTGCCGAAGTTCTCTTCACCGAGGATTGCCAGGTCAAATACAACGATGCAAACCTTATGGCGTCAGCCGGCCTGGCCGCGACGTCCACCCCCATCTCCGACTTTGCCATCTTTTCCGCCTGCGTCAAACCCGCCATGGCGCGTCGCCGATACCCCCTCCAGGGGTCGTCCAATGAGGACGGTCCCTCCAAGACCACCTGAGCCTCAATGAAAGGCAGCCACCACCCCGCTGGAGCCACAACCACGAACCGACGATCACGAGCGACCGGAACAAAGAGCTAAGGTGCCCTCCAGGCCCACCCCTCTCCCCAGCGGAGTTTTCACACCCCCATCTTTTCAGATGTCTTCGTCCGAAATGCCCTCGCTTGAGGAGGACTCCGACGAAGTCGACTGCTCTGCCCCCAAGCCTCCGCGATCTTCTCCTTCGGAGTGAAGCACGTGCTGCATAAGCGCTCACCCTTCTCCGAGGAAATCTCCGGCCTCTCCTGGCCGACCACCACATACTCCGGTATTTAATGCGCACCAGGAACCCTGTAGCAGCCGCCCACGATATGGAGTGTACGGCGCTTTGCTCGCCCAACCAGCGACAAAATGAAGGTGCCGAAGGGGAACCTGTCGCCAGGCTGAACGCCGTCCATGCCCTCATCATCCGAAAAGACCTCGGTCGGCGAATCCAGGACCACCAGTTCCTCTTCTTCCTGCTTGGGCTCCCGCAGCGGCTTCCTCAGCACCTGAACCGGAGCGGCATCGAGGCCTCCCCACATGGGCGGTGCAATCTTCATCGTCTCCTGGTGCGACTCCGACACCGTCTTAAAGAACACCGTCTGCAGCCACAGCGAGAAGCCGTTGAGCACACTCTTGTCGTCCACAAAGTCCGTGATCCCATACTGTGCCCGGATCTTCAATGCCAAAGAGCCTTGGGCCGCCGTCGCAACCCTCTTCGTGGTCACGGCATACTCTTCGTCCACTCCCGGAGACCACCTACCCCACCTCCGTCGAGTCTCACGAGGAATCTCTCTCTGCGATCAAGGCCCAGCTCATGATGGTCACCCGCTTGCTGTGCTCGCTCCAATACGAAGTGGACTCCGGGTCCGGTACAAGTTGCCCTCTTCGTTCTTCCGGGTCGAATACAGCTCGGTCAACAAGGCCCTTGAGAAGCACATTGCATCCGGGTACCTCATCATGGACTTCCGGAATCCTTGAAGGTTGTCGGTCGGCTTGCACGTGAGGAAGTCCCTGTTGCCCATGGTGATGTCCCGGTTCATGCCCATGAAGAGCTCGAGCCCCACCCGGAGCCAGTCGCGTGAGATGAGCCATGCGTCCTTAGAGACAAAGAACTGTACCACTTCGACTCGGCGACCGACCCCGGTAGTTTTCCCACGAACTATATCTCCTTGGAGACCTACGGCTTCATCGAAAATCAAAGTAGCCGGGGGGACGCCCTCCGCGTCATGCGAGCGGAGGGCTCCCCAAAGTTTGATGAGCTTGTGCCAGCAATAAACCCTCTTGAACTTCTGCAGGCTCACATCCAGAACCCCTTGTTCCCATGCTCTCGCAACCTCGAGCGGGATGCGAGCTGCCTTCACCCGCTGATGCGGAGCCCATGAGCTGCCCTTGGAGACCTCCATCAAGTAGTTGTGAATGGCCTGGGTCGTGGTGATGCGTTTCTCCGGGTGCACTTCGGAGGCCATTTCCAAGAACGCTACTGCCTTAAACAATGAACTTGGCACGCTTCGACCGCAAGGTTCTTCAAGTAGGAGGGACACGTACCTTTGAAGTCCATGTACCCCCTCAACCAGGCCACGCCATAGATCGACTCCATGTAGATCTGCAGCTTGCGGCCATATTTGACATGTTGTCGAATGGTAGACGCCCTCCTTCCCATCGCACAGCGTGCCCCCAAGTGCCTCATGGCCTCCGGGCTCTTGGCTGTGCTGCCAAGGAACCCTGCGTCGTCCAGGAGCTTCAGAAGCTCCTTGATCCACCTCTCACGCTCGGCCTCTTCGACCTTTGCCCTCTGCTGCTCCCTGAGGCCCCAGCCAAGGCTTTCTGAAGCCTCGTCTTCCAAGTCACCCTGGGCAAAGCTTTGCGTGCCAGAGCCAAAGTGGCGCCAGCCTCTGCCACTGCGGTGGGGAGCTCTGCGATCCTAGCGTCGATCACCGAGGTGTCCTTGTACAGCAATCGTTGATGCTGATAAAACAAATTATCTTCAACATCCATCCACCGCCTCTGACGCTTGGCCTCCCTCAACAGGACGAGGTAGTCCTCTTCGACCCAATCCTTCGCCGCCAAGGGCAGCATCTCTTGGATCTCGCCGATGGGCATGGCGTGGAAGAAAGCGAGCGTCTCCCTCCGCCACCCCATCGACACCAGCTGGCCCACGCTGCCAGCTAACGCCATGGCAGGCCGGATCCTGGCCCCAAACCTTCTTTGGGCCAACTGCGTTTGCCGACACGTATCATCGACGTTCCCGTTGTGCTCTTTCGATTCTGACATAATGTTATGATGTACCTTACAGCCTAACTCTGAAATCTCAAGGATTCATTGAAAAAAGCAAAACAAATGCAAAACCGCACTCAGAAATGATGACTAGGAAATGCAAAAAAACAGCTGGTCAAAACGAGTGCAAATAAAAAAAGCAAAAAAAATTGCAAAAGGAAACCAACAAAAAAAGCAAAAAAAAAAAAACGCAAAACAACAGTTAAAAACATGTAAAACAAAAGCGAACAAAACGCCAAAAAAAATGCACATGCGCAACCAAATTTCACACACCACCTTGTTTTCGGGACTTGTTTTTGCGTTTTCTGTGCATTTTTTCGGGATTGGTTTTGCATTGTTTATGCATTTTTTTTGCTTTGCTGTGTCATCAGAACTAGCTTTAGCGTACATCATAAATATAATGATACTATATATAACTTAGAACTGCCAATCTCAGGAAACTAATGAAGCAGCTTGTGGAGTGGAGAGGGCCATTGCATGGAGTCAATGACGACAGGAAGCCCAGGCACCTACTTTGCTGATGGCAGTGCCATCCTCCATAACCTCCTCATCCTCGTCCAATTCATCGTCCTATTGGCCATGCCGGGAGTTGCGGGCCATTGACACCAGCAGCGAGAGGTGTGTGCAAAGAGAATACAAGTGCCATCTGCATCTATCTGCCAGGAATAGAACCTCGATGTCACTGGCTTGCTACAAGATCTACAAATATTTCACCGTTCTCAAGGCAAAATCTTGCTTGAGCAAAGGGAGCCCAGCTGAGAGTAAACACGTGTAATGATGAGTAATGAGTGGCCACTCGCAATCTCCTTGCCCGTCACTGGCACTTCCACCTCAGAAACCAAAAAGGCAGCTGAGAGTGCAGCGATCGGGTTGCCACTGCAGTTTGGTTCTTTGTTATTGGACTTTGGTCAAGTGCTAGGGCAATATTTGTTATAAATAGTTATATAAAAGGCTGTACTATGCTATACTATACTATATTAAAATACGTTTGTCCGGCGAAATCAAACCATCGCTGGCAAAAAAAAGAAATGTTTGCTTTAAACTTGTAGGATGTCCTTCATGGTGCGTCTCTGTGACAGGTGACACATGACACACAGCAGCAAAGTTTGGAGTGAACCGAACTGATCAAGATACTGGCACGTGTAGTCATTGACTGACAAACGTCCGTACAAATTATATAGTATTTCTGTAATTCCGTAATGGAAACTTGCACAGTTTGTTCGTTGGGAATGCCTTATCATGCTTGTCAATGCTCGGAGTCGGGTTTTTCTTGCTGAAATTATTAATTCCATAACTATACAGTAATCAGTAACCATGTAAAATATGTGTTCTAGTTCTGAGCCTAGCCTACTCTGACATACCATACAATGCTTGTATCAGTAAGAGTGGCGCATCTTAGAGAAGCACAAGGTCAAACATGTCAACATCTTTGCATCACATAGCAACCAGCAACACAATCCTGGTCCCAAGCATGTTCGTGTATGTAGTGGAATGAGGCTCTTTGGGGGTTTTCCTGGCATTCGAGCAACAGTGGTTTCAATCTTCAAACGGGATCCGTATTTCTTTACCTACCCTGGGGCGTGATTGCGCTGGAACCAAAGTCAAAACAGCTCTTATGACCTCCTCAAGGGCCGCCCAAAATGAAACCAAGCACTCGAAATTGAAGCAGGGAATTTCTTGCAATTACAGTTACACGGGTAAGGGAGGCTAATTCTTTCTAAGTGAGAATATGTTAGAAGAACATCTTGAAGACTGACAATCACGATCCACTACTTATGGTATAAACTGACTCATCGCGGTCTTGGTTGTCTGATGTTGACATGGCTGGGCCACAACATACCACAACCGATGTACATGCCGTTGGTACTTGGTACATGCCTTTGGTTCATACCATGCCTGCGACCTGTGTCTACCGATCAAGTTTCACACCTCAGCGAAGGAGTACTCGATGGTAAAGTCACTCTCGTCTGAAAGCTGCTCCATTGTCGACTGGCCGCTTGACGATTTGGGTGGCTTTGCAAGCTTGAAACTTGAAACAGGATGAAACAAGTATAGAAAAGAAATGTGTCTTTTCTTTCTATTCCTTTCTTTGAGCCCGTGAGGACCTGGTGGGATAGAAAGGAGTTAGGTAGCTAGCTAAGGATCGCTTGGAAGCTACTACTTGTAGCAGCAACCATGCCAAAGAGCTCGGGTTCTGCAAAAAACCCAGAGAAGTTTTTTTGAAGAACCTTTTGCTGATCGAAACAAGTCCTGGATTCTTTTGAAAATGAATCTTCTTTACGATGAAGGTGGACTGGACAGCACAAGTACCTTGATATAGCATGATAGAAGGACTTGTTTGCACACGGAATGTCATGATTTCAGCCACTCTGTGCCAATCAACGAATATAGTATTTACAGGGTTGCTGCTCAAGCTCCCAATATCTTTCCCAATCAAGCAATTATATACATTGACACTCAACTGTGCTGACAAAGCCACCACCTTCACTTAATCAGGACATTCCCACACGCCTGGTCAGCAGACTCCTCTAGCAATACCTCCATCAATTCACTGATGCCGCTCAAATTTTGTACGGAATCTTAAAAAATATATACATTCAGTCAATGGTTTGCACTACGCTCCCTTTTCCTTTCGCTTCCACTCCAGTCAAAGGCTTTCTGCCAATTGCATTGGTATCCATGCATCAGCATGGACCTGATTCTCAGGTGTAGGATCTTCCTCACGTTTCACGTGTGCACCCAAGGTACTATTCCCCTATTCCCCAAAGCTGAAGACGACACTAAGGGGAAGGAGCGGAAGCTGCCAAAGCAGGTGCGGGACTGCAACTTGATGAAAAGTGAAACCAAATTCACGGATGAACGAATCTGCGAAGCCTTCTCTAGATATACCGTCTGTCCAATTGGATTTCGATTGGACCCATTCGAACCACACGCTGCAATGGAGGCTGAACAACAACATGTGAATCATCTGCGCCAGCCGATCCAGGTCCGGCGAATCCGATCGGCCTCTCACCAAAGACATTCATGATGCGATGTTATCTATCCACCATACACATGTGTTGCGCTTAAAGGAGTCTGGAAAACTGATCAAGGCTTGGAACATAACTGAAGTACCTGAGCATCAATCTTCACTACAGCTTTTGTGCGACAAAAAAAAGTATCGCTGAACAAGAACCCACCTGACCCTTTGCCCATCTCATGGGCTGCGTCAGAGGCTGCAATCATGCGTGGCTCTGAAGAGGGCAAAAGGGAGACTGTCCTCCTGGGCCGTAACGACAAGATGGTTTCGATAACGTCGAACGCTGCCTCAAGGTGGGTTGTCAGCTCTACAGGGGTGTCGAGGTGTTGCCGATCTTTGATGGCATTCAGCCCTGCTCGGGCCACCTCGCCAAAGGCTGCCTGATCCAGGAATGTCACACCACACAACCGAACAACTTTGCCGCTGTACCTGGGTGAAGCAGGCGATCTCGACGTGCCGTTCGGATGAAATCTTGAATCTTATCTTGCAGCCTAGATCTAATCCAAAGCTGGATCCGGCCGACTGAATGGGCTGTCGACAATCGTGGATCATCCCCAGGAAATCGATCCCCTTGGAGGGAGGGGCGTCGGCTGCAAAGGGAAAACCTAGGTGTTACAACACCTGCCCCATGACGCCCTGTGCGTGAATGGCTGTGGGTTCCCAGTCCTGCAGCGTACAGTCATCGTAGTAAAAGCTGGCCATCAGTCCTAGCATGCGACGCAACAATGCTTGACAAAAGAATGGCAGGTGGGAGATAGCCAACTGCTGGGGACCCGCTGCGCAATCCGGCACAAAACGATGTGTCCGGCCACTGCATCATGGCGATGAGCAGCGCAATAACAGCGAAGTGTACTTTGGGGTTCACGGCCGCTAGACTGGCACGAATGTAACGTGTGACTCCTTCCAAGCGAGCACAAAGTCCTAGAAAACAATCCAGAGCGTCTTGCCGAAAACCGGTACCCTGAGTCTGCGGATCAACTAAATTTAGTAGGCCAAAAAATTACTTAATTTCCATTAGTAAAGTAAAAAGATTATTTTAAAAATCAAAGTAATTTTTCCATAGTAAATTTTAGTAAGACAAGTAATTTAAATTAGTAAGGCTAGTAATTTAATTTAGTAAGGTTAGTAATTTTTTTAAGTATGTGAAACATGTGTTGTCATATGTTGTTTTTTGTGTGGTTTCTGTTATTTCTGTGTTGTTTTGTTTGTGTTGTTTTGTTGGTTTTGTTGTTTTCTTGTTGTTGTTGGCTGTGCTTAAGGTTTTGCAAGAGTAATGTCACCAAATTTGTTCACTTTTGACTCATGTCACAGGCTTGCAGTCATGAATGCATTGGTTCCCACTGGTTGTTTGTTTTGTGAGAAGACAGTTGGTTTTTCCACCACTTGTCTCAAAAGCTATTGGACCATTGATGCATTCAAAGTTACTTGCTGGCCACTGTGTTTGCATTTGTTGCTCAGTCTGAATCTAGCCTTCTGGCAGTTACTTGTGTTCTAGTTGAGTTACTTGTGCGCCAGACAGACACTTGCAGTCAACATCACTTGCTTACATCAATTACTTTTGCATATCATACATGCAGATGAATTTATCCAAAGGTTACTTGAGACTCTGTTCATCCAGGTCTTGTGTTCATTGCAGTTATTTGGAGCATACTGTGTAGCCTAGTTTGTCAGTCTAGCATTCTCCCCTGTGTAGTTTGGCATGGCTGGTCTTGCAGCTGCTCTGGAAATGAAAAAGAAATTGCTCCAGGAGCAAAAGGCTGAGGCAGCCAAGCACGGCAAAAGAAATGTAGCTGATCCATCAATTTCAGTGAATGATATTTCCAACACCCTGGATGCTTTCATGAAGCATCACAGATGCGAGGATTTGTGGCGCTTAATTAGTCCACCCCAGGGTATGATCAATGTCACCTGGCAGTCACCTGTGAACCCAGAATGGGTTGTCAAACTCAGTGGCCTTGCCTATGACATTTTTGAATATGCAAAAAAACACGAAACTTTTGGGAGCACGTGTAAAGAAGGCCTTGGTTGGCTTGCATGAGCAAAGGAACCTGATCTTGCCTCAACACCTTGGCCAGAAGGGCGATGCCATGGATGCCATTGACCTGAAGCTGAGGATTGGTTTGAACATGTACAGGGAACTGAAAAAGTCTGCAAGTCTTCAAAACCGTGTTTTTAGAGTTCTCACTTGTGATGAGCAAACCAAAGTCCAGATGTGCTTGGACAAGATCATCTTGGATGAAGGAGATGGAGACCTTGGCACTGACTCTTTACCTGTGCTTGCACTTCCCGCACCTGTGGTGGAAACACCTCAAAGGTCTTTGGTGCCTGTGCAGACCAAAGCCAACCAATCTCTTCGAAGGTCAATGCAATTCTCTCCAAGCGCTTTGGAGCAGATTTCTGAGACCCCTCCCATCTTTGGCAAGATCTTGGCTGGCAAGGCTTCATCTGTGGAAGAGAAGAAGAAGCCTGCCCAATTTTTGACCGATGCTGAGATTCTCGAAGGAGCTATGCATTTTGTGCCCACTCAGGTTGAAGGCAAGAAGAAGCAATCTGGATCCAAACAGAAGAAGAAAAGTCCCAAAAAGAAGTCAGGCAGCCAGAAGAAAAAGAATGCATGCAAACCTGAAAAGAAACAAAAGAAACCTGCTGGCAAGATTGCAGTGAAGAAGCCAGCTGGCAAGATTGCTGTGAAGAAGCCTGAGACCTTGAGTGCAGACTATGTGAGCCGACATTGGCACAGGGCTGATCAACTGGCAAAGAAGTGTGGCCTCTCCAAAGAAGAGAGAATCAAAAGAAGATGTAAGGCCAGTGAGGAAGCTGGCAAGATTTGGGATGACCTTCACCCAAACTAGGGTATGCTTTGGGCAGAAGGGTCTTGAACCCCTTGTGTCTCATCAATGGGATGCCGCAAAGGAGAAAGGCCATCTCTGTTACTTGTGATCTTATCTGTGAGTCTGGTAGGTTTCTGTTTTTGTAGCTAGAGGCCACCAGTTACTTGTGATCTTACTTTTGTGAGACTGGTTGGTTGTTGTCGCCGTTTGTAGCTAGAGGCCACCTGTTACTTGAGATCTTACCTGTGAGACTGGTTGGCTTCTGACTGTAGCTAAAGGCCACATGTTACTTGAGAGAAGTTACTTGAGACTGATAGACTTATATCTTTGCATTCTGTTCACACTTTGTTGTGATTGAGTTTTTTGAGTGCATGTTTGTTGTTGACAGTCATTCAAACATGTCAATATGTGATGTGAATGTTTCTATGCAGCCTTACAGGGTCAGTTTTATGTTTACAGTAACATGGTTCAAGACATTATATACCCTGTTTCAAGGCTTTTCATGCAGGCTGCAAGGTCAAAGGTCAACATGTCTCAACATGTTCCAGCACCATAGATATCTCAAGATGTTGGACTTCTAAAGGCCTTCAAACTAATGCTGCCACAAAGGTGAACATACCTGATCTTGTAATGTAAAAATGTACACCATTTGGGTTTCTTCACTTCAACCATGAAGTGCGCCGGTGCCATGCCTGAGAAGGCTCCTGAGTATCCAAGGTTGATGCTCAGGAATGTGAAGCTCAGCGTCAACAAGTGGGAGGTCAGGTCTTTCTTGGAGGGGATTGGCCTGCAGCCTTTGGACCTCCAATGCTGCAGGATGGATAGGGTGATGACCCCTAGACATCAGACAGTGTTCTGCGACCTTTCCACTGACACTTGGCTGACGCAGAATGGGTACAATCAGAAATGTTACTTGAGTTTTCATTGAGTCAATAACAAAAGTCATATGGATCATATCACAAATGTTACTTGGGTGTCCATTCAAAAGAAAGATTATCACTTGTATGCAATCAGGAATGTTACTTGAGTTTCCAGCCATTCAATGAAAAAGATCAAATGTTGATCGCTTCATTTTTGCTTTTGTTGTGAGAGAAGAATGTGATAGCAAATTGTTTAGTCCACAGCTCAGGAAGATGACCTTGTGTGGGCAATCAGCGCTTTGAATGGTCTTTTCAATGAAGTCCTTTGCACTGGGCTACTTGGTTTTGCTTTCTTCTTCCAAGTAAGCTTTCTTCTTTTCAAGTATGTGTATTGTAACATGCTTGCCCAAGTACTGTACACATGTGTACCAACTAGCTGCCCAGGTATCAAAAGCCACTGGTTGCTTGCAGAGCCTAGCCCAAAAGCAAACGAGGTGCAAAACCTCCAGAGCCACCAGGGCCACCTCCTTCCTGGACCTCATCCTCAAGCAGTGCAGGGCCGCATCCTCCAGGATTTGCTTATTCAGCGCCATTTG